GTTGACCGGGTGCTCCGTAAATGGATCAACTACATGCTAATGAACAGATGGATAAGCTGCGAGATGTACGATATAACTATCAGGAAAAAGATATTTCAATCTCTGGGTTACCTCCTAAGGAGCCTAACCTGTCTGCTATGCAGACAATGTCGTAATACTTTTTAAAGGGAAAGGATCCAAATTACTTGTGTGGAAGAGCTGAGGAGGCTCTGAATACCGCCTTTAGCTGGGCTCAACCGAGAGGCCTCAATGTTAACTCTGCGAAGACGGAAATCTATCTTTTCACAAGAAAGATAGACATTTCTACGTATACTGAACCTTGCTTCCTGGGCAAGAATATATCGGTGACAGACAAAGTTAAATATTTTGGTGTAATCCTTGACCGGAAATTTAAATGAAGACTCCACATAGAGGATAGTATCAACAAGGCTCACCGGTGCTAGACGATACACAGAGAAAACAGATTCATTGTCGCAACCGAATTTGTTTCCAATCGAATTTAGTCAGTTCTAACAACTATCTTAAAATTCGATTGGAATAAACGAAGAAATATGGTTAGCGTTACTGTATTCAAATAAATATATACTACTATTGTGAATGATTTTCAATATAATTTGACGTTTTTTTTTATTATTTTTATTGAAAATAAAATTCTAAAAGAAAAATTAACAGAAACCAATACATACATATGTATAATAATATGTACTTAAACGCCATTAGGATTTTAAGATGTGATATGCTCCTTCGTAATGGACTCCAACATGACGGAATAAATTGGGATATACATACATGTAGTCGTACATTTCCGTTTCATTGAAGACAATTCATGAATAACCACAGATCAGTATTTTTCTGGATTTCGATTTTGTACTTTGGCCAGAATGGACGACATTGAGTGATGTCTGATATCGATGGTGGTATCAATTATGTTGTATTCTTCATGAAACTCTTGAAAAGAAAAAATTAGGAAATATAATATTTATGTGTGTACATGTGAACGTATGTACATATGTACAATGTACATGCATACATGTGCCCACATACATGTGTATACATATAAATGCTGTGGACGTTGAATACGTAAGACTTACCTTATTCCTTGAATAATATTTAAGATTCTTAAGCTTTTGTTTTACTGGTAAAATTTTAATTTTAATTTTTTTAATGTTTTGACATTACACAATTTTCTGTTTTATATGGGAATTGATGTATCGATTGAGAACATCGAATTCGATAATATATGATAACAACCGAATTTTGAAGACCCCAACACTAATAGTTGGCAATTTAATTTAAAATAAATGAATTAAAGTTTGCTATAATAACCGAATCAATTTGAAAAAGTTTCTACAGAAACAGATTGATAACATAAACAAATTTTTCAATAGAATGAACCTCAAGTCGATTCCAATTATGGTATTTAAGTTCTTGTTACAGAAAGTTAATTCATATAATAGTTTTTTAATAAATACGAACATATTGCGATCACCCTTATTAATTTTTAATAGCTGAAACCGATTTTCAACTGATCTGTTTTCTGTGTGTATGTAGCAGAGCTATAGGCATGAAAAGGGATCTTAGTGCTACTATGACAAATTGGCTATATAAAAGTGTAATTAGACCAATTCTAGCGTATGCTTCAATAATCTGGTGGATTGCTTTGGACGAAAATGTAATATAAAACAACTATAGGGAGTTCAACGTTGCTAGATATTCCACCCATTGAAACATATTTAAGAACCGAACGGCTCTTTACTTTAGGCGAACTGGCCAAAAGTGGTTATAGGGTAAGTCATCATTGTATACTGGACATATTGGAAGGTTATACACAATCATAGGACGTGCCTGATCGCATACCAGACACAGAATTTGTCGGAAACTTGGAAACGCTGATCTCAGATAGAATGTTTTAGTTAAGCGGAATATTAGAGCAAATACTAGTAGGAATACGTTGCTCTAAATGGGCTTCTATATTGAATACCTACCACCGTTTACCTAATTATAACACAAGCTTCCAGGCAGAAGTCCGAGCAATAACGGAATGTGTGTTTAACAGAGTATTCTTTCAGAGGGAGGTTTGGTCAATTATGGACCGATCCTCGTCAAATTTTCTAGAACGATTTTAGTTTAGGCTAGTAATGAGCGTTAAAGCCATTTGTGAAGGGGACCTTATATGGGGGGTAGGGTCAATTATGAACCGATCCTTATAAAATTTTACAAAGCGATTTAGGTTCCTATAAAATATGTTCATGTTGAATTTCATCGCTATGGATGCTTCTTTTAGACAGTTATGAGTGTTAAAGTAATTTTTCGAAGGGGACCTTATATGGGGAATAGTGTGAATTATGGACCGATTCTTATAAAATTTTACAATCATATTAAGGTTCCTATAAAATATGTTCATATCAAATTTCATCGCTATGGATGCTTCTTTAAGGCTGTTATGAGCTTTAAAGTCATTTTCTGAAGGGGATCTTATATGGGGGGTAGGGTCAATTATGGGCCGATCTTCGTAAAATTTTACAAAGCTATTTAGGTTTCTATGAAATATGTTCATGTCGATTTTCATCGCTATAGATGCTTCTCTTAGACAGTTATGAGCGTTAAAGTCATTTTCTGAAGGGGATCTTATATGGGGGGTAGGGTCAATTATGGACCGATCCTTATAAAATATTACAAAGCCATTTAGGTTTCCATAAAATAGGTTCATGTCGAATTTCATTGCTATAGATGCTTCTCTTAGACAGTTATAAGCGTTAGAGTCATTTTCTGAAGGGGGCCTTATATGGAGGATAGGGTCAGTTATGAACCGATCCTTATAAAATTTTACAAAGCGATTTAGGTGCCTAGAAAATATATTTATGTCAAATTTCATCGCTATAGATGCTTCTTTTGGACAGTTATGAGCGTTAAAGTAATTTTCTGAAGGGGACCTTATATGGGTGATAGGGTCAGTTATGGACCCATCCTTATAAAATTTTATAATGATATTAAGGTTCCTATAAAATATGTTCATGTCGAATTTCATCGCTAAAGATGCTTCTTTTGGACAGTTATGAGCGTTAAAGTCATTTTCTGAAGGGGATCTTATGTATATGGGGGGTAGGGTCAATTCTGGACCGATCGTTTTAAAATTTTACAAAGCGATTAAGGTTTCTATGGAATAGGTTCATGTCTAATTTCATCGCTATAGATGCTTCTTTTAGTCAGTTATAAGCGTTAAAGTCATTTTCTGAAGGGGAGCTTATATGGGGGGTAGGGTTAATTATGGACCGATCCTTATAAATATTAAGATGCCTATAAAAAATGTTCATGTCGAATTTCATCGCTATAGGTGCTTCTTTGAGTCAGTTATGAGCGTTAAAGTCATTTTCTGAAGGGGACCTTATATGGCGGCTAGGCGAAATCGTGGACCGATATTGGCCATTTTCAATGCCAAACGAACTGTATCAACTAAAAGTATCTATGCAAAATTTTAGCTCTCTAGCTAATTCCGTTTAGACTCTATCGCGTTTTCAACAGACAGACAGACAGACAGACGGACAGACATGGCTAGATCGTCTTAGAATCTAATAAGGAGCCAGAATATATATACTTTTATGGGTCTTAGACGAATATTTCAATGTGTTACAAACGGAATGACAAAAACAATATACCCTCCATCTTTTTAGATGGTGGGTATAAAAATATGGATGCGAGAATATGGATAAGGCCTCTTGGAATAATGCAACAGTGGGAGCAAGACGAGAAATCTCCTCAAAATGAGCAAGTCTGAGGTTAGTATTATGGTACGTATTCTGAGTGAACACACAGGATTACGTGTATGTAGAGCATGTGGAGAGGACAGTGAAACTCTGGAACACTTTCTTTGATAGTGATGTTATTCCGGAAATAACATTTCTGACTAACACTGATTGAAAAATCCTTGGGAATTACATCCAGGAAGCTGAGTTTTTGAATATTGAAAAATAACAATTGAACAATTTTATTTTCATGAAAAGGAGCCTAGGTGTATTTCTTCGGATTTGATGTAGTATACATCCACCTATCAATCTAACCTTATTCAGTTTTTGAAAATATAAATTAATAGAAATATTTGTACCTTTTCTCTTTTTGATAAAAAATCTAATAAAAATGTTAAAGATATTTACGATATTAAAAACAGCATACATACTTGAATTTTTTAATATCTGTGAATTTATGTAAATATATTATTTTGACAGATTTTAATTTTTTGTTATCGAAATTGCTAAGAAAGGTATGCTACTCAAATATGCACTTTGAGATAATATCACAGTAAATAATACTTGATTAAAATTAAAAAATCTATTTATTTCAGAAACTAATTAAAGAGTCTGCATATTAAAATAAAGTTTTTTTTTTTTTTTTGCAAAATAAGAAAATATTGCATCGTTAACTGCCACCCACTTCTTTTAAAATGAAAATATTGAGATTGTTAGTCTTATTTGAATCTGAGGGGACTTTTAAACTAGTTTCACTATTACTCGTGCATGTTAGTATGAAAAAATAATAAACAAAAACTCAACAAGAACAGCCAAAAAATGTTTTAGATACTATAGAAATACTATTAAATTTATATGTATGTATGTATTTATATGTAAGTATGTAGAAAAAACATACAACAACTTTATAGTTGAATGATAACAAAAACATATTATATTAATGAGATCTTTTAAAATGTTGATAGCAACCACTTACATGAGCTATTTGCATCATATTTCATATGTCAAGTATATTAAGTATATTTTTGGCTATGTATGTGTCTCTGTGTACACACATACATACATATTTAAAATAATAGAAAGATAAAGGGAAAATATACAATACGTTGACAATGTCATTCTATTGCTTTTTATATTTTCTTTATTTCACAAGTTGAACATGATGATGACGACTATGACTGTGACTACGGCAATAATGATGTCTTTATTAAAAACCCTAAAAAGGGGGAGTGAAGATTGTAGTTGAAATAAAAGTTAAGTTAGAACGAAAAAAATACAAAAAGGAAAAAGAAGCACTTAAATTTATCTTATTGTTGAAAATGTTGCAAATGTAGAAAGAAGAAGTTGTGTGTATGTGTGTGCAGTTGTACCTACATGTATTTATAAATTAGGTGGGTGTGTATGTAAAAATATACATCTTACTGCATATTTAATGTTCAGTCATCATTTTTAACAGTAGAAGATGATTATCAACGAAATAAACAGCCAACCATAACATAAAGTCATACATACATACTTACATTAATTCTTTTATTTAGTCAGTCATTCCTTCGTGCATTTGTTTTCCCTCTCAGTCTTATTACAACATTCATTCAGTCACTTACTTTGTCAGTCAGTCAGTTATACTTTCATGCAGCATAATATTAACAAGCTACTAAAACTCAACAAAAGCAACAAAATTTCTAAAATGTGCAAGAACATGTTTATATTTTGTAGTTAAAATGTAAAAAAAAAACGAAAAATAAATAAAAATAATAAACCATGTAGTAGACAAAAACATTAAAAATAATTCATACACATTTTTTTACCTTTGCTTAAAAATAACAAGTAAGAAAGTTTAGCCGGTCATGCTCCAACATATGATGCCCTACAGCAGTCATAAGAATACTTAAAATGATTTTTAATACATATCAGATTTTACCTAAATTTACCTAAAGTTTGATGAAATTCTGATCAAATGCGAAGACTCAGTGTTAGAGAATGAAAATCGCTTATTGTTTTTGTTATCTTATTAAAAACATAAATTAGATAGGCAAATATTGGTGATGCCTTATTTCTCATCCAATCATAGCAGTGTTTTGCATAACAAATACTTATTAGAAAAAACCTTAAAATTTTTCCAAATTTTATAACAAACTTAACAAACATTTTTTATTTATAAAACGAATGTCACAGTAACAACTATGAACACATTTAAAAAAATATATAATATTAGAGTGCTTCAAAAAAACGAAGTTGCGGATTTTGCCCGTCACCCCTCTAGAATTGTTCTTTGGGTTGTAAAACTGTGTCATACAAAAAATTAGGTTGATAGGATAACGTTAACAGGTGCCGCAACGGCTCTGAAGTTTTCTAGTGCATTTACAAGGGGAAAATATCGATTTTTTTCAGTTTTTGCTCAATTTTGGCCATTTAGTAATAAATTTTGAACTTTATTGTAAAGGAATCGTAATGTGCACAGAGTAAGCATTTCGGAAAGATATAAAACACAAAAATTGATTGAAAG